GCAACTGCATTTTCTTATCCTGTTTTCATGGAGTAATTACTTCAGTGATTGCTTTCTGTCAGCATCATCGTGGTTACCTTTGTCACAGACTGGCACTACATTTTGTTCAGCCTGATTTCAAATACTGGCTGTGATTTTAGCTATTTTTTCTATAAACTTCCTGGAAGTTCAATTCATCGGTGTGCAGACAGTTGGCATATGGCATCGGCACCGCTTAATTCCCACTTAGGTCCTTAAAATAACTCAGAGGGGAACCTCTTTTCTTTCTATGTGGATGTCAAACTCTCACTTCAGTAAAATAGGCATGGGGTGTGTGCTTAAAAGGGAAAAAATGATGTGCCCATCACTGAGCAGAGCTCTGAGACCACTGTATAAATCCATTGACAATCCAATCTCTTTTAAGATTAAAAACAGGGAGAGATAATCTGACTCTGCTGAATTCTTTGGAGTTCTCACATTTCAGAGGTACGATGAAATGGTAGCTGGGCAGCTCTCACATCTGTTAAAAGAAACCTCCCTTTGAGCTGTTGCTTTGTTATTGTCATTTCTCTTAAAAAGCAGAAAGGATAATGTTGAGAAGATACATAACATTATTATTATATATAATTTTTTGTGTGGCAAGGGGAAGGTTGGAGGACAAACCAAAGTGCAGCACTGCCCAGAAGAATGAGTGCTACCTCTATTCTTTTCCTGTTCACTTAAACCAAGAAAATATTTTCCATATAAACAGACAGTATAATCATAGGTCTGGCTTTAGTTGCCATTGCTGTGCAAACAGGTTGACAGTTTGATCCTGTTCCTAAATTTGATCTGCTAAGATGCGAGCAAAGGGTTGTGGCAGTATAGCTGTAGCTTCAGCCTAAAAAGAAGAAGAAAACAAGAAAAGCCCCCCTGGCTCAGATCAAAGGCCTCTCTTGTAAAGCATTCTGTTTCCCTTCGTGGCAGCAAAAAATAAAATAAAAAAAATAAAAATGCCTTATGGGAAGCCCAAGAGCAAAACACAAAGGATGGCAGAACTGTCAGCTTTTGCTGCTTTCCAGCAACTTTTATTCACAGGCATTTTTATCTAATCCCTTAAAAAAAACATAACCCACCCTGACCCAAACAGGTAGGGCAAAGCTGTACAAGGTCTGCCTTGTATACTTTGGAAAACACTTATTATTTCCACACTAACCTATTTTTCCTCCTGGCTGCTACTGCTTCATGAGAATTTTAAAGGAAAGGAACAGTAGACAGTTTCAAAGCCTCTGAGTCAGAAATACTGTCCCAATGCAAAGCCCATGCTCTCCTTAATGCATTCCTGGTTTTCAGTTTCCTGTGTTGTTGGACATTATGTAATACAGAGGACATTGCTTACACCAAGGGTGGACAATTTAGAATGGTTCAAATATATTTACAGTTTAACAATATCTAGAAAGCCATGATACCAATTCCTACATCAAACCTTTGCTGTCAGTTTCATAGAAAACAACGGGTGCATCTACACTGTAGAATTAATGTAGCTTGACACTACTTTAGCTGCCATTTCTCAGTGTTATGAATTCTGGGAGTTGTTCTTTGGTGAGGCACCAGCAATCTTTGGCAGATAAAAGATTGTAAAAGCCGCAAAATCAAAAAGGATCCTTACAGTCTTCTACTTTTATTTATAATGAGAAACAAATATTTCAAAAAGACAAACCAGAGTCTCATTATTTTTTATTGAACTGTACCTTTATATACACAAACTTGAAAACTGTATGTCAAGCAAAATTGTACAATGCACAATTATACCCTAGAGTTTAGTTCCAGCCCCCACCTCCAACCCACAGATATCAAAATCTGTGAATGCTCAAGTTCCATTATATACAATGACATAGTAAAATTGTGTCCCTTGTATAAAATGGCAAAATCAAGAGTTGCTTTTTAGAATTTTTAAAACACATTTTCAAGTTGCAGTTGGTGGAATCCATGGATGCATAATCCTCTGGATAAGGAAGACTGATTCTATATAACACATTTTATGTTTTCAATCTGCAAAGGATTGTAATGTAAGTTTTTTTTATTTCCCCCCTGAAAATGTCATTGTTCCACCTCAAAATCCAGAAATTCTTCTTCCCAACCAAACCTTCAACATTTTTAAAAATTGTGCTACTTAAAACTTCTACTGAGACTGAGAATATTATGTCCTGCCATAGCACCGTGGTTGATATTTTTGAGATATTATTTACACTTTTTAAAGACCAAGCACTAAAACATGTATATCTCATTTTCTGTTAATTGCAATGTGGTGGATGAATCTTAACAATAAAGCACTGACAGAGAAAAACATACTGTGTATCTTATTTCAGCGAGATGCTTGTAAACCAACTTTAATTTTAATGAAATTGAAGCATGATTCCCAAAAGCAGGCACCCCTTAGAATACACAGATTCGAAAGCAGATAATTAAGAAGGGGATTTATGGAGAACTCATCTTCACCACTGGTAAACATGTTGAATTTCAAAATAATGTCACTGTTAGTGAACTCTTTTGTTGTGTCAAAGCAAACTTTAATTGCTTCATTTACACTCAGGGAAAACACTGCACTCCCGCAATGGCTTTGATTTATTGTGTTAAAAGACTGCATGCTAATCATATCAGGAGGTCAATACAAGTTTCACTTGAAAATAAAAGATTAATGTTTCTACTATTATTTGTATTCTACGCAAGGAAGGAAAGGACCAAGTACAGATTTAAAGATCTGACATGTCAAAAGTTTTCTGCACCTAGAAAGTATCAGTGGCTAGAATAGTATTTTTTTTCTCCTTACATTTTATCAGAATTGTGTAATTTTTAAATTTTGATCTTCCTTTTCAGTGACAGATATCTTATCCAAGAGGGTTTTTCCTTCTTTTGTTGTTTTGCAGTTATTCTTTTCCATATTCTTTGTTTAATTGCATTTTTAAAATTTAAATTAAGTTTCATTTTTTAAGAAAAGAAACAAAACTAGTATATTAAGGACAAAAGATATGGGAAATGTGGAATGTCTCCCAGATATCAGTAGACTTTAATACTCGTCAGTCTTAGTACCAGAGCCACATTACCATGAGAACTATAGTCTAGCAATATCTGGATGGTAAGCCAATCCTTGTTAATGACTTATAGCTAAACCTTCACCTTGCTTCATCTGAAGAACAGGGATTTGCCATAGAAATGAGAAATACAACATTCTGGAAACAGAGAAATCCAAAATCTAGAGGCAGAAGTAAATCCAAAAGCACTAGTCTTGATTCTGCATGAATTTCTAGCTAAGGGTAGGCATTTATCTTGTGAGAAGTTACCATGCTGTGTAATCAATTGCAAAACTACTCACTTGCCATATCCAATGAAATATTTTGTTTACCAATTTTGGATGGTACATTTCTCACACATTTGCATTTTGAGGTTGGAAAGTTATGCAGTCCATTAAGTTACATAAAATATGAATACTTCTTCTCAAAGTGCTGGTATAAACACACTTAAAAATAAAGGAATAAATAGAAAACTGCTTGGTTGGTACACCTTCTTATTTTACTCGGGAAATGGATCCTTGTTTCATCATTTTTTAAAATAATCAGGTTACAAATACCCACTGTACATATTACATAATATACTCAAGCAACAGGCAAATAATCATGGACTAAAACTTATGAAATCCAATATTTCATTTTCCCCACAATTTCATTTATTTGGTTCTGGATCTTATTGTAATGGATACCTAAGAGTTTTCTGGAAGTTCCAGAGCATCCTGAAGATTCAGGACAGTCTAGATGGTGGGGTCAAGTCCAATTCAGCCCAATTCACTGTTCAGACTGGACACTAGTGTCACCATCCTTCAGCTGTGCTCATCAGCACAGGGGAAGGGGATAAATCCTGCCTGTGTCACCACCACTGGTCCTAGCCAGCCACAGCACTTCATCCAATCTCCTGGCCATTGCATGCACTCTACTGATCTCAAAATGAGATGCCTGCACAACCATCAAGAAAGAGTCAGCAATCTCCCCTTCTTTCTAGTCATCAGGTGTCTCATTCTGATGTTGGCGGAGGTGCCCATTATGGCCAGAAATGTGGATGAATCTCCATGGCAAGCTAGGAATAGTGGCAGTGGTTCGGACATGGATCACGTGAAATGCACACAACCCCAGTGGAATGGAAGTTCTCTCAGGCTGTCTGAACAATGACCCCAGATTCAACTCAAGTGTGCAAGATCCAGAGTTGTTCTAGGAAGCATTTACACTGGGCTAAACTGTCCAGTATAGATGAGCCCTGAAACTTCAAGTCATATGCCTTTTTACATATGCCCTCTCACATAACATTTAAAAATGGGTTCTATTATGTAACTGATACAGAACTATACACATTTAGGGCTGTGAAAAAGCAAAGAAAAAGTCTGCTACTGGTACACTCATTATTTATTTACTTTTTCTATTAACTTCCATATTCAGCTACTGCTTTTCAAATTAACAATTGTCTACATCCAAAGATTTAATTTTCTTCCAATTTCATGGTTCTTCTCAGAATATTATCCTTTAATAGTGAGCTCTTGTTGTGATTCAACACAAATATAGTTGTGATTCAACACAAATACTAAAGTGTTTCATTATAAAACACTAAGAAAAAAACTGAAACCAGGAGGGAAATTGTTAAGAGCATTTATGCTTTTAAAATATTTACAAGCTGGGCCTGGATTGCCAATTATAATATCCCCAAGTGCATTTCATATTCATTATCAATGCAAATCCAAAACTCTATACAGTACTGCACTTATAATATTCTGTAATATTGTGTAACACTATAATATGCTTTGTCACTTGATTTAATTATATGGGTTGCATAACCTTAACACCATAAATGAATGGCATTCATGTCATAGACAGGTCATAGTTCAGCAACAGAACATATGTTTTGCTTACAGATAAAACCCTGTGATTTCAGAAAACAATATAGGGTTAGGGGAAGCAATAGTTGTCTTTGGATATAACAGAGATGCCCCATTTTCTTACCTTCTGAGGTTGTGGTGTGACATGAACACCTTGAGCCGAAACCGGGAGAAAAGATGATTTCAGTTCTTCTGAAGTGTGGGTTTTAGGAGGTCTGGGTGGGGGAGTTGTGGTTCTATTCTCATATTTTCTTATCATGCAATATTGTTCTTCTGTAATCTCCTCCACAACAGACTTTACTGGTAAAACCAAAGTATCTTCAATATGCTTTCTCAACAGCTGGAATGACATTTTTAAACGATGCATAGGGATTTCCCATATTTCTGTGGGATTATTCAGTGTGCTGATTAATAGGAAGGAATCTATTATTTCTTCTTCAAGCTGCATACACGGGATATCTGCCAAAATATCCTCCTGGACTGAAAGATCCCTTATTGATACTTTGACATTAAATGGAAGGGAGAAATCTCTGCAAAGTTCTGAAAGTTCATACTGCCTTTTATCATGGACAAGTTCAACAAAGCCACCTTCCATGCACATTGGAAGAAGTACACTTTTCTGGGTTTTATTTAGCAACACAATTTGTTCACAGACCAAAACCTCCTCTACTATCTTCTTTTGTGGGTGACTTGTTTCATTTGTCTGCAGCTGTGGAATTAGAAACTCATCTCCAACAGAAACAGAACACAGATCTTCATTAAGGGACACAAATGCTTTGGTAGCCAAGACGTGAAGCTTTTCCTTCATATCCCGTGCTATTTCTAAATCATACGCAGTTGGAAATTTCCGGGACCTTCTTTTGAACTTTCCTTTGTAGCTGATAGGAATTAAAAAGTGTCTTTTACAGGACTCTTCCTTGAACTCAGATGCTAAGATCCTTCTTTCCTGACTCTTTTTGTAAATTATTACTTCTCTGCCAGGGTGCACCAAATCATATGACTGCTTGTTTTCAATGGTACTTTCACTCACTGCAACAACAATAGGAAATTCATCATTTGTCCTTTCCAAAATATCTTCAACTAATAATGGTTGAAGGAAACTGTTAATATTGTAGCAGTCTGTTACATCTTTAACTTCAACATCTAAATCAGAAAGGAAGTGAACAATCTCTTTTTGAACTGGAAAAGAAAAGAAAGAGTATAATATTTAGACTAATTATACTATAAGAAGTCATAATATAATACATAATAAAGGGATAGTAAAGGTAAAGGTTTCCCCTTGACATTAAGTCTAGTTGTGTCCAACTTTGGGGGGTGGTGCTCATCTCCATTTCTAAGCCGAAGAGCCGGCATTGTCCGTAGATGCCTCCAAGGTCATGTGGCTGGCATGACTGCATGGAGCGCCGTTACCTTCCTGACAAATTGGTACCTATTGATCTACTCACGTTTGCATGTTTATGAACTGCTAGGTTAGCAGAAGCTGGGATTAACAATGGAGCACACCCCATCCTGCAGATTCGAACCGCCTGCCTTCCAGTCAGCAAAGTGGTTTAACCCACTGTGCCACTGTCAGAAAGAGCGGGAAAGATCCAGAAGACCCTAATTCATATAGACCCATTAGCCTCCTAATTCAGGATTATAAAATATTCATAAAAATATTAGTAAACAGAATAGAAGGGATTATAACTAAAATAGTAAAGGACGATCAATACGGTTTATAAAGGGTAGAAACATCGCACATCCTTTAAGAAATGTATTAAACATTCTTAATCATATCAAAAAAGAAGATTTGCACTCTTAAAGTTAGATCTCTATAAAGCTTTTGATTCAATAAACCATGGGTAACTAAGGATTTAAATCTTCACTTATTAAAATAATAAAAGAGTTATATAATAACATGAGATCAAGAATAAGAGTAAATGAAGGATTAACAAAATACTTGAAAATAGAAAGAGGAGTAAAACAAGGTTGCCCTCTATCTCCACTATTATTTGCATTAGCAATGGAACCTCTGGCTGACAGAATACAAAACAATTTATTTTTATTATTTAATTCTCGGACTTCTACCCTGCCCCTCTCAACCCCCGAGGGGGGACTCAGGGCGGCTTACAAAAGGCACAATGGCAGGATTAAGGGATATCAGATTAAGAACGAAGAAGTGAAGATAAATCTTTATGGGGATGACCTTTTATTAATAATGGAAAACCCGGTAGAAGCTATAAGGGAAATACAAATAATTTTAAAAGATTTTGAAAGCTATTCAGGATTGAAAGTGAATATGAGCAAATCAGAAATATTTATATACAATATGGGGGGAAAGGAGCAGAAGGTGCTGCAAACCAAAATGGGAGAAATAAAAATATTAAGAAATAAAATAAAATATTTGGGCATAATAATTACAAAGGAAGTAACCAAGTTAAAAGCGGCCAACTATGGGGCAATACGGAAAAAAAATCAGGAAAAAATAAAAGCCTGGAGGGATAATGAAGTATCCCACAAAAAATACAAGCACTGAAAATGTGCATAATTCCCAAATTACTTTATCTTTTCCAAACTCTATCAATAAAAATAAAAGATAAACAATTAAAAGAACGGGATAACATTTTGAGAGAATGGATATATGAGAAAAAGAGAAATAGAATAATGAAAAAGATTCAATATACCCCAAGGAGAATTCTTGGATGGGGGTTTTCAAATCTACAATATTATTATGAAGCTTTCCCATTAAGAGCATTTTTAGAAATAAGTTTAAAGGGGAGAAGATAAATGGATAAAAGCAGAGAATGAAATAAATCTAGGATGGGGAAAATATGGATTATACACCAGAGATATTAACAAAATAAAGGAAAAACTAACAGGACCGAGAAAGGTAGCATTCAATTGCTGGCAAAAACGGCAAAAACTATGGGCATATAAAATATCCAGAAAGACTTCAGTTAAGAGCATGGGACTTCCTGAAAGGTCAGCAAATAACTTAGAAGAAAAGGGATTGAGGAGGGTAAAAGACATGTGGAAACAAGATGGAGAAATAATTAATTGGCCAGAGTTTTTGGAAAAGGGAGGGGGGAAGAAAATTGGTTAAAATTAAGAGGGATTTGGGAAAAAGGTAAAAAAAAAGAGGCTGCATAGCCCACTGAAGAATTAAAGGTAGATACATTGCTAAACGCAAGAGAAAAAACAAGCAATATGTAAACAGGGGGTGGTGCTCATCTCCATATCTAAGCCGAAGAGCTGGCATTAAAAACAGAGCAATACATAAAAAATGGAATGAGGTTAAATAATTAAGGACACAAAAAATAGAGGAAATAATTGGGAACATGAATAAAATAAAAACAGAAAAATATAATGAATTAGAAAAAAGATGGTATTAAGATGGTATGGAACCCATGAAAAACTTACTTATATGGTAAAAGGGATGAATTCAAAGTGTTGGCAGTGTAATAATAAATCACATATGTGGTGGGAGTGTTCTGAAATAAAACAACTCTGCCAAATAATACAAGCAAAAATTCAGAAGATATTGCAGATAAAAATTCAAATTAATAATGATTTGCTACTATGGGGAGTGTTGGATCACCCAAATATATCAATCAATTACCAGGAGTTATATAAAGTAACAATAAGAGCAGCACATGCGGTGATCGCTAGAGGATGGAAAGACAAATTGAAATGGACATTAAGTAATTGGAATGATTATATGTATGATCAAGTGTTGTTAGATATTACGGGAATTTTGATTAAGCAAGCAACAAGAGCAGACAAACAAAATGACATTATAAATAGATGGAAGGTCTACTTCAACTGGGTGAAAAATGGAGGAGCCAACGATTACATCAAAGAAAAAATACAAAGACTTCACCAGTGGCTGGATCAGCAAGATTAGTAAAAAATATTCTGTGGTTGAGGAGGAAGGGAGAGGGAGGAAAAGGGAGGGAAAAATATAATTTACATCAGCTGAATTACTTGGGATTTATGCTTGTAACACTTGGAATATGGTTTTCTCATTTGTGTTTATACCATAATAAAATATTTTTTTTAAAAAAATAACCCACTGTGCCACCATAGCCCCTTAATAAAGGGATATTATATAAAAAATATAAATGCTTCCTGTAGATATGTTTAAACATGAGAAGGTTGTTGAAAAAGAAATTTATTTACCTTAGAGTACTTTTCATCTTTTTAACAATCAGAAGCAGATCACAGAAATAGTTTACCTTAGGGTTTCCAAAAGTTGGAAATGACATCCACACAGAAAGGCACCCAACAACAACAGAGTAATTTTACTCCATCCCATTTGATCCAGTGAAAACGGTGGAAAATACATTGGGTGGAAATGGAAAAGAAGAAAGTAAAAAACAAAACATTTCTACTCTCTTTTCCATTTTGCCATATGGCTCTTTGCTTTGTCTCCATCGCATCTGTAGAATTGGTTTGCCAAAGTATTCAAAATAACATCTACACATTGTTTCCTTAATCCTTAAAGTAACTTGTTAAAACAGGTCGCTGCATAGCAGGTAATGACAGGTGAGAGATAAACTTAATCATTTGTTTAAAATCTGTGTATTCACAACATATGAGAAGATTGAGTTTTTTCAGTCCTGTCTCCCTGCCATTATTTCTATCACCTTTACATATGGAAGGTGATGGTTCAGAAAAATCTTGCACATTCTCTGATCTCCCCGGACTTTCAGCCATGATACTGTTTTTAATTTGTGTATTGTGATTGGTGTTATTTGATGTTGTTGTTGTTGTTTTATTGTGTGGATTTTTAATCTGTATTTCGTGCTTCACCATTGTAAGCCATCCCAAGTCCCTTCGGGGAGATGGTGGCGGGGTATAAGAATACAGTATAAAGTATAATTATATCCTCTTCAATTCATGGTGGTTCTGAAAAAAAAATGGGTTCCTGTTTACAGGAAGATCCCTTGCCAAGGAACAGGAGTAGCTAGTGCACATGAGTTTGTAATACTTGGAATATGGGTGTAGCAACGTGCAAATAGTGTTTATCAAATGGAAAATGCTCTTAAGTCACATTGTGCATGTGTGTGTCTATATCTATATCTATGTATATTCCATACACATCTGTAGAATTGCATAATTATATTAGTGATGACCCTTGAAGCAAGGTAATTGGGACTGATAAAAAAATAAATAGCTGTAGCAAACACATATTTTGGATAAGCTGCACTTGATTCAGTGCTGCTGATATATAAGTAAATATCAATTGGACTCCTTAGCAGTAACCATTTTATTTGTAATAGAATGTATGCTATGTCTGATACTGCCATCTCATACTAATAGTGTTTCATAATAAAAGAAAGTGTAGAAATTCATTGTTCACAGTTTATAAGATAACTTGCTTATCATATGAACAGAGGTTGCTTATAGAACTCTGTAGAAGAAATTTGGAAAATATTCACTACAATTTTTATGTTGAAGGCATGGTGAAACACATAGAGATGACAGAAAACAGAAAAACTACTGAAACATGCATTAGAAACCAGAACTATAAAACAATATGTTGTTCGTAAAAACAGTATGTGGGCTATTAAATCTCCTGATATTTCTCAATGGGTAGAAAAGAACATATACCTAAGGCCAGAATCATTCATTTCTAAGGGTTCATCTACATTGTAGAATTAATGCCATTTGAGACCACTTTCACTGCAATGGGTCAATGCTATAGAATTATGGGAGCTGTAATTTTCCAAGAGCTTTAGTGTTCTCTGTCAAAAGTGCTGGTACTTCACCAGACTTCAAATCCCAGGATTCCATAACATTGAGCAATGACAGTTCAAGTGGTTCCAAACTGCATTAATTCTACAGCGCAGAGCCAGTCTAGAATATACATGAGTATTCATGAGTATTCATGAGTAGATGTCTTCAGAAAGCTCATTGTCTTTGTGTGTGTGTGTGTGACTTCATGTTCTGGGCCATGCTGTAGGATACTTTCATGTGGACATCTCTACTACACCTCTACTACATCAAATGGCATTGCCCTCTTGCCAGAGGTACTTTATCTTTTTTTCCTTAATGTAAATTAGGAGAAAGCCGCAGGAAATTACAGAAAGACTACATGACAGATGATGTTGTCTGGACTCTTTCTCATGACCTCCAGAAAAATCATTCCATGAACCAGAGAGTGTGATTGAACAATAAATCCTGATCTATACGTATCCATTGTTAGAATAAAAGTTGCTGTTCTTTTTATGGCCTTGAAACATCGACATGATTCCTGACTCCAAAGATTCCAGAACGTATCCATATGGGAGAAATCCCTTCAACCTATATCTCAAAAGCAATATTTCGGGCATCACTGAAGTGACAACTGCATACTTAATTCTTCCCAGTCTTCCAGGTCAGGTTAATAATGTCCTATATGTGTGTGTTCTTTCCCCCTGTCTTTCTACCTTTCTTCTTTTTCCTCACACAGGAATAGTGTGGAGGATAGGGCAATGTTTAACGGTACAACATCAGATCATGAAGTAAAGTAGGAATTACGGTGTATATGCCTGTTTTGTCTTCACATCACCTATTGACTTGTGGCAATCCAATGAATTTCATAGGTTTTCTTAAGAAAGGAATATTCAGAGATTGTTTTGCCACTGCCTTCCTCTTGAAATAGAACCTACAACACTCAGTATTCCTTTGAGGTCTCTCAACTAAACATTAAACAGGTTTGAGCCTGGTTAGCTTCTGAAATCCGATTGGATCCCAGTGCTGTCAGTGCATTTGGGCCTTCCAATCAACCATCACATAAAACCCAATTTTGTAATATGAGAATATTTTGTAAATATGAAGATAGATATGACTTGCCATATGCATTGATACCAAATAATTATTCCTTTCTTCAGTTTTTAAATATTTAGCTACATCTCCACAACCACCTCTTGTTTCCACAGGGAAGCAAATCTCATATTTTGTGAGATATACTTTTAGCATCCCCTGCAGCTTATAGTATATACATAAAAATACAAAAGGGCAGGGAGGGTGGGAACAGGTTGCATGAAAGAACATGAACACATAAAAAGAATGAGCATTTGCCAGGATGAAACTCTTTCTGAAGGCATAGGACAGGCACTTGAAACCTCCCCAGAACGCCTTGAAATACATACACTAACAATCCTACCTACACCTATTTCATACAGTCATTATATAAAATGACTGTATAAAAATAGATATCTTTTATTATATACTCACAAAGGATTTGTCCCCATTTGGATAAAAGTTAAGGAAAGGTAGAGGGAAATGTTCTACTTGCTGCTTCCACTGAAAACATATTTAATTCTAAATCATAACACAACACAGAACTGTCATTTTTTAAAGATTTGTCTTAAGTCTATCAAGCACATAGCTAGATCTCTCTTCATTTTTCTGTGTGGAGAGTGTTTACATAGAAGCAGGTCTGTAGCCAGGATTTTGATTCAAGAGGGGCTGAGTTTGATTTTTTGTGGGGGGCTGAGTCTGAGTGAAAGAGGGTCTACCCTAGCAAACCTTTTGTATCGTTACCCCAATACCCCCATGCATATGGGATATATTGAGCATGGTGATCAGATCATGATATGAATAAACATAACAGTTTAAATAATACACCAGTAAGGCCTTCTCGCGGACCACCATGAGAATTTCGGGGGGGGGGTGAAGCCCCCCCCCCCCCCCCCCCCCCCCCCCCCCCCCCCCCCCCCGGCTACATGCCTGCATAGAAGCATTCAGCCGTATTACCTCAACTTCAGTCTGAAATGGTAGTTTAAAGCCAGGACCAAATGGCACACTTTTACTCGAAGCTGCTTATGCCATCATTGGATGTCCTCCCTCCACCTATGAATTGATGGGCTAGGAAAACCAGTTTCTGTAGGCTTTTTGAAATTGTGTTTTTGGAAACACTGCAATAGGGGAGAGGCACTCCCAACCCAGATGCACACTGCTGGATATAGAAATATAATATGGAATTATGGCTGCCAAAACATGCTTACATCTTGTGTTTATAATGGATGAACTAATGCTTGATTCAAGTATTGTATAACATTAAACAACAGATATGCAATGCTATGTATTCAAATAATGTTTCCCATTTTTGTACCATTTCAACACCAGTTATCTCGATGAACATAAAGTGAATTTTTACTCCATATAGTAACTCACTTCTAGGAACTCTTTAGAGAGACGAGAATAAGTCTTTCCCCTTGACAGCTATCCAATCAACTTTCAGTTCATTCACAGTGAACTGAGCCTGAGGCCACTTACCAGAGCTTCAGAAAGTGCCTTCAAGAATAATAAATATGATATTCAGAAGCCATGCACAACAAGAGAGTGGCATCATCCCAAAGTATCATCCTGTTCTCTTATTCATGTTCTGTTACCCATAGATTTCAATGTGTCACTGTATTCATTCTTTTTAAAAATACTTTCCCAAGCTCTGCCATTGATATGCAACACATGTAGCCTACTACTGAGCTATAGTTTCTCCCCAAAGCTGCAGCTGTGATGGCTCAAGCAGTGACCTGTGACTCCAGTATGACTTATGTATGAATCCAAAATGACTCCCATTTTTTTAGACCGGCACATGATTGGGAATGGGTAATCTGTCTACAGTCACATGTTTAGAATCTTAGAATTTGGACATCTACTTCTGTCACTTCTGAATACCTTACTAAAAGGCAGAAATATTTGATAACAATATCCATTCACTTACATTTCATCACTGCTTGTACTTCATAAATTGGTGTCAGGTCACTAAAATCCACATGCTGGAAAGTGGTAGATTCCCCAGTATCACAGGTGTTAGTGAATGTCACACGCCGGCTTCTGCTCTTGGGGATTTTCCATTGAGCAATTTCATTCAGGGTATAAATCCGGTTATCTTCACATTCATAGAATTCACCTTCTTGTGAAAGTGGCAGTAGAAAAGCATGCATTTGGGAATCCCTTATGACTTCACAATGTACAGTCAGGACCTTATTGTTGTCTTCCACAGAGCTGAATATGATCATCTCGCCTGGTTTGATGGTCAAGTTTTCGGTCTGTAACTCTTTAGAGCAATAGAAGCAAGGTTGTTGTGTTGGTGCAATCAAAGCACTTCTCACAATTGCTTCAACATTAGCATAAGGTGTTTTATCAGCTACAATCTTGCAGAGACCTTTAGAAGAAAATTTTGATTTGAGCAAATTGCCTTACAATTATGAAAATGCTGAAAAATATACAATACTTTATTTTATATTTATATGTTATTTTCCAATAACTCAAATTGATTGTAATAACAGTTTTAAACTAATTAATATCAAGTAAACATCTTCTAAGACCATATTCAAATGTCTAATTCTTGCAGATCACATCTAACAGTTACAAGCATTCAAGAACCCTGTATAAAATCAGGAAAATTAATATATAGTTTTTTAAAAGAATAAGATCTTGGCAAGTCTACAAAACCACTTGTTATAATTCACATTTTCTTAGCATAGAAGTATGCATGTTCAGCAGTTGTAGATATGTGTGTATATGTATGTTCATATGGAGTGCTTCTCAATGGCAGAGGAGACTTGCATAGAGAGGAATGGAACTAGCAACAGAAGAAGAGACTGGTCCATCACATTCTTATTCTTCTTTAGTGCTACTGGATATTTGCCATCTGTATCTGGCTAAGAACATGGTCTAAGATAAACAAGAGTCAACTTCCAAGTCCTGATCAGGTACAAATTACACTGTGACTGAATAAATTGTGAATTTCATTCAGTATGGATATAATGTTGTGCTCCTGCCAGCTTTCATATATTTGTAAAGATCCTCAGACTTTAAAATTGTGAAAGAGGATGCAGCTTCCAGCTAATAGGTTTTTTAAAATGTGATCTTTTTTCTTTGTTTCTGACATAAAAAGATATATTTATTTAGGATAATTATATACTGCCTTTCTCACCCCTGGGGAGACTCATGGTGGTTTACAACATATTAATGGCAAGAATTCAATGTCAACATACATACAATAAAATCAAATCACAATAACTTAACACTGACATATAACTATAAATTCAAATCATTAAAAACATTAAATATGGTCATATACAACATGCAAACATTAAGACAAAGCATTAAAACATCCTAATATAAATATTACATTCACATGATCCAAAAATCATACACTATGGCTATCCCGATTATCATAGCATGTATTTCCTGATTATTCTTTGCATTACATTACTGCCCAAAAGTCTGGTCCAACAATCACATCATTGTTGTTTTTTTTCCCCCCGGAAGGTCAGCAAGGAGGGCGCTGTTCTAATCTCACTGGAGAGAGACAAGGAGGTGCCACTGAGAAGGTCTGTCTCTCGTTCACACCAACTGTACTTACGATGTAGGCAGGACTGAGAACAGAGCCTGCCCAGCAGATCGTAACCTCCGAGATGGTTCATAGAGGGAGATACGTTTGGATAGGTAAGCTGGGCTGGAACCATTTGGGGCTTTATAGGCAAAAGCCAGCACTTTGAACTGTGCACGGCAGCAAACTAGCAGCCAGTGGAGCTGACGTAACAGAGGAGTCATGTGCTTCCTGTATGCCGCCCCTGTTAGCAATCTGGCTGCCATTCGTTGAGGCTTCTGAATTGTCTTCAAAGGCAAACGCATTGCAGTAATTGATTCTTGATGTAACAAGAGTGTGCACCACCGTGGCCAAGTCTGACTTCCCAAGGTATAGGTGCACCTGGTGCACAAGTCTTAATTGTGCAAAAGCTCCCCTATCCACCACTGAAACCTGGGGTTCCAGGCTCAGCGATGAGTCCAGAATCACTCCCAACCTGCGAACCTATGGGTGATTTCAATGGGACTGACATCTCTCAAATATTTCCCTCTTGTTCTGTTAATACCTTTAAACTTTGAATGGTTAGAAAGAATTGTTTTCCCTACTCAGATGTGCTACAGTTTATTTTTTCTCTTCCCATGTACTCCATGAAGGCTGCATCTCTCCCTGCAATATAAATCTCATATAAAGGGCTCAGGAGCTACTCTAGTTCAGCCCATGAGTATCCCTGAGCATTTTAGCTACCAACAAGTAATTTCCTCCCAGAGGCTTGCTGATGATGTTATATTTCTGGTCACATGGCATGATGCCCCGAATGACATCACCAGAAATGTGATCCTGCCAGCAAACATCTGTTAGGGAGCTCTTACTAGTGATGATGCAGCAGTGGTCTGTTGGTGCCATGGACAGTGAATTGGGTTGACGCAGCCCAATCCAGCTATAGGATCACTCTGGAACTTCATGGAAGCTCCAGGATAAATCCTCTGTTCTGTGGACAGAGAGTAATGGCTGGATGCAACCATTCTGTGCATTGGCTATATTGCTAGTCTGATTGCTCTTGGGTCAGTCCTGAACTATAAGACAGAAAAAGCACTGTGATAAGAGGCATTGGGGGTGGGCAGTACTGACAGTCCCTTTCATACTGCAGTTTCAACATTATTCCATTTTAATTATCTTTTTTCTTCGTGGTCTCTGCGAATGCACACTTGTGGAGAGACTGCGCCTGC